GATATGCACGGTCATTGATGCTGCCATTCTTGACCAGTGTCTTGCATGCATCCTGCGTCGCCTCAATGCATTGGCTCGCCACTTTTGATGCTTCAGCCTTTGGGGTCGGATTTCTGTGGGACTCTGGTGCCTTGCCAGGTTTTGAGGTCCGGATTCATTGCCCTCGACGGCCCGGACCTTGCCTCTGCCTGTGGTGCAGAGGCCTTCTGGTTTCTGGTCTTTCGCGTCCATCAGGATTCTTATTCAGGCGCTTGCCCGCGGGACACTTTGCTTGCAGTTTTCGTGTGGCTTTCTCCAAACGTTTTTGTTTTTATTCTCTGTTGCGTGTAGCATTGTCTCTTTATTTCTCTGCTTGGCTTTTGTTTCCTAATTTGCGAATTTCTGTCGATTGCTTCTCATCTCGCCTTGTGTGTGCGTNNAAAGATGTCTCGGGGTTCGAAAAAAGATCTGGGGTTGATGTTTCGGGGCCGAAGAAAAGACTGCTCAAATAATGCATGTAAATGCAGCTGATTGACATCTGTGCCGTAAATCCAAATCAATCCATCCTTTGATTCGGATGATCCTGATGTTCCGCCAATGGAGAACGCACACCGTGGCTGATGAAGGAGGAGTCGCCATAGAGCAAGGCAAAACCTTACTATTAGCTTCCAAAACCTGCTAGATGGAAGCTAGGAGTGCAGAGGGCCCCAAATGAAAACTCAAGAGCAACATGGCTACAGCAGAGAAGTCCTGTAGCTCTGAACAAAGCCGAAACTAATCAAGAGTCCGGAGCCTGCAGGTGCGCCTGAAGAGGCGCCTTTTCGGAAAAACCCCCGGTGGGAAGTCGCAGATGCTAATGCGGCCGTTGCTCTATGCCAAAAAGAGGCCACGAAACCGCTTATGGGTTTTGTGAAGAAATCAAAGAAAAAAGAGAGAGTGTTAAGGGGGTTTGAGAAAAGATTGGTCTCCGTCAAACTTTCTAAAGCCGCGAACAGATCCCTAGAGGCCACCAGAAGCAGCTTCCCCACCATGCTCCCCGTGAAATCACTTTGAAGCTTTCTGAGAGGGCCTTCGGCGCCCTCCAACCCTTTTTTGAAGAAAGAAAAAAGATTGCAAATGACCAGTCCCTGCCACAAGAAGAGGCCACACGAAAAGCTTTGTGGGGAGGTTTTTGCGAAAAGACAAAGAAAAAAAGAGTGTCAATGAGTTTTCGCAAGGTTGAGAAGAGAAGAGGAAGTCTCCGTCAAGATTTCCAAAGTTGGCACAAGAAGAAGAGGCCGGAATTTTTGCGAAGAAATGAAAGAACAAAGAAAAAGAGCGTCCTTGAGAAGTCTTTCTTCTCTCGGAGTTTGAAAAGAAGCTTGTCTTCTTCGAGAAGACAAAAGCTGCGAACAAACGTAAAACGTAGGCGTCCACTCATAGCCTCGAAGACCGGCTTTTAGAGAAACTTCACAGTGATTTCACGCTGGCATGCTGGGAAAGCTGCTCCTGGGGCCTCCAGGAGCTGGAGAACGAGCTGCAGGATCGTTCCTGAAGCGTTGCGTTGTGTCCCCCGCTTTCTCTCCTTCTGCTAGTTGACGCCTGCGTATACGTTCATTTGTTCGAAGCGTATTTCACGATTGTAAATCGCAAGCAAAATCCTCTGCGCTTGGAAGCTGTTTGAGGGCGAGGCGAAGGCTCAGAAGCCGTTTGGGAAGGAGTGGAAGCTGTTTGAGCGAGGCGTTGCGCTCGGAAGCTGAAGGCGAGGCATTGCGCTCGGAAGCGTTTGGAGACGACGAAGGGGCTTCGAAGCTGTTTGAAGGCGAGGCGTTGCTCGGAAGCTGTTTGAGGGCGAGGAGTTGCGCTCAGAAGCGGTTTGGGGAGCTGCTGGGCGAGTTAGCTTCCTTAAGGAAGCTGGCAAGCCAGATACAACTCGGGGAAGCTGGGGCAAGCAGGAAGCTTCCCAAGGAAGCGGCAAGCGAAAATCGAGAGACTCCTGGGCAAGCAGCGCAGAGAAGCTTCCGAAGGGCCGGCTGGTAAACGGTTTCGAAGCTGCTCGAGCGGCAAGCAGCTAGGAAGCTTCCCAAGAAAGCTGGCAAGCGAGACAAAACTCGAGAGACTGCTGGCAAACAGCTAGAAAGCTTCCCTAAGGAAGCTGGCAAGCTGCTAGCAAACGGTTTCGAAGCCACTGTGCAGCGGCTTGCAAGCGGGTCGTCTAAGAGCGCCTTTGCTTTCAAGCGCCTCTGGATCGCTTGATACCGCCTCGAAGCCGCAGAATCGAACAGCTCTCAAAGTATCGACTTCTAACCTGTCTCGAAACAAGCCCTGTGGCTACTACAGAGTGGGAGCTGACAACAGCCTTCCCAGAGAGGCTTTTTGATCGGAGTTCCCAGCACACAAAATTTTTTTGTATTTGTTGACAAGAAGCCAAGATTGGCGGTGGTTGTTGGGTGAACAGCGCAAGCTACGCTTTTGGCGTCAGCCAGCCTGGTGTCTGCGGCAACATTGGCGTGTGCGTTCTCAGACTTGCCACCAACTACAGCACCTAGTTGGAATTTTAGGGTTTTTGAACAAGCCACCACCATGCTGCAGCTTTTGCCAAAGATCCAAAGCCAAAAAACATGCCTTCTAAGATGTAGAGGAATGGGTTCAAGGTTTGGACTCAAGAATTTTCGAATTGCTTTGAAGCAGTTTCCATGTTTGCAGCTTTCACGTGCACTGTCTAGGTTCTTTTTCAATGTTCTGAAATCGGAAAATATGCTTGCGAACGCCCGGTTTGTGTCATTTTGAACTCGATGATCCAAGTCAAGGTTCCGTTTGGAAATTTCTTCACTGTCCGTTACATTCTTCCAACTGTGAAATCACTGTTGCAATGCTGAAAACTTCCAAGTTAAGTTAGTGTTTTCAAGTTTGCTGGTTCTGAATGTTCTTCTTTTTTCACGTGTTGCAAATTCTGGTGGATGCATGTGCCTGAAAAACAGAGGTGCATTGCTATAAATTTTGCATTTGGCCGTCAAGAAAAACGTGCAGCCTTGTTGGTTGTGAGTTGTCATTGGTTTGTTTTTGGTTTTTTTGCTGATGAACAAGGCGACGTAGTTGCCGTCTTGCAACCCACAAGTGCTACGGAATTAAACTCCGCCTTGTCGATTGTTGGAATTGGTCGCATGTGTGGTCCCAGGTTTTTTGTGTGCCACCCCATTCCACTTCAGCTGCTTGCTCAAAAAAGCTCCAAAGACTGAATCTGGATGGCTGCTGTTCTCTTTGCTTTTGTCAAGATCAAACAGCTGGTGCACTGACCAAATGGACCCTCAAAGAATCTGTTGCTGGCTTGCTCCAATTTTCAAAAAAGGACCTCTGGATCCAGACCGGACTCCAAATCATTGGTCTCCGTTGTTTTTAGTTCAGTCGTTCAGTTGCTTCACTTATCATGTTGTTGTTTCGATTTGTGCATGGTGATGTGAGACATCTTCTTTGTTCAGCTGTTGAAATCCAAATTTCAACGGCTTAGATGGCTTGCCGGAAAAGACAGGATTGCTTGAAGGACACGTCATGACAAGAGAAGAAGGTGCAGAGTTTCGCAGGTTAGCACTTTTTCGACGATTGTGGCAAAGTGCAAGTTTGGTGGTGCTACACGTAGCTTGCTCATGCTTTCCGAATCGGAAGTTTGCACATGGTCAGTTTTGTGTTGAAAAACGTTGTTTTGCACGAGCGCAATGTTCCCTTTGATGTGTTATCGAAATGACGACATCCAGTTCAACCCCTGCACCAAGTTCGCAACGAGTAATGGCTGATAGGTCGCTGAATCTTTTGTCTTCCAAGATGCTGTGTGGGTGGCGCATACACCAGGAAATCTGTACAACTCCCTGTAGGCGAACCGCGTGAGTTGTCGCGGTTGAGATGCGGACAAATGCATGAGTGATTATGTTAACGGTGTTTGTTTGACGCTGCTTGCCAACATAAGTCTTGCACATGTTTGTCGGGAGGTGGCTGGATGGGTTTCATCTTGGTTCAAGGCGTCCCTGTACTACTACTACCAAAAACCAGCTGAGCTGCAGAAGTATCTTGCACGAGCCTTAGCCCTGAGGATGCTGAGTCTCATGGCCGTACACGCAGATAAGACTTGTTCTTTGCAGGCTGTGGGCACGCAAGACCCCAGCAGGAGAAGCTGCACAGCTGTTTCCGAGGTGGGACCAGTTTGCTCATGTAGTACTGTGCACTCAAATTCTCACACATTGTCGTGCTTGCTGAGCTGGGGATTGCATCATCTCCTTGGAGCCTTTTACTCGTGTCAATGTTCCCAGGGGAGACTTGTTCATTTCAGTGGTTAACTTGCTGAAGCATGCTTGTTCCTGATTTTCCATGTTTCCATGCACGTGCATGTGTCAATGGATGGTGCCGGCTGTTCGCAGGCTCTTTATGGCAAGGTTTGAATTTTTTCTCGTCTTAGCAGCATCCTGCGCAGTCTGGGCCTCAGTCGTAGGCGGTAGACATCTCCTGGACACGTTTCGTTGCTTTCGTGTCCAGGTGGCCGCAGATGCTGCAACCATTACGACGGTATACCCCGACCGGGGTTCAACGGAAGGCTTTGCAGTGTGCGAGTGGATGTGGCCACACAAGCAAATTCAACATGTGAAAGGTGGAACTTACCTTGTCATCAGCGGCTCTGGTTTCATGATGCCAACTGAGGCTGCAGCATGGATGTGGTCTGCATATGATAGGTAGATCATTAAGGGCGCTTGATGCATCAGTCGGCATGATCCCATCCGCATTGACAAAGACTCAACTAGCCCCTTCTGCATGTGCCTGACTTCAGCGCCCCTGTCGCGGCCTGGCTCGAAGCCAACGGATGCCACACGACCATGCGGCTTTCAACGGTCAGAGCATACCTGTTCGTTGTCAACACGCATCAGACAAGTAAAGGGAATCCGAAGTCTTCGCATGGAACACGCAGAAGTTCCAGCTGCCATCCTGAAGAAGAAGCAGGCTGCCGACAGTATGAAAGCGTGCTTTTCTCTGGCAACTGTTTTGGCATCTGTGGGCAGGTGTGGGCATCGTGTAGCCCAGCCACGTCACCAGCTTCTGCATCACAGAGGAGTGGCAAGCGAGTGTCTTTCCAATCTGTTTCGATCTCAGCCGTCGGCTGTGAGTAGGTTAGATAGGCCTTTTGTCTCTCGCCATTGTAAGCCTGCCGCTCATGTTCAGTCCAGGTGCCAGATGTTCATTTCATTGCAGCTCGGTGTCGCACAATAATGAGTGATGGTGTTCTTTTTGTCAGATGCGTCGGACGGGTTCTGAGACTGAGGAGTTAGTCAGGGAAAAAGCCCCCAAAGTGGTATTGACTCTTGAAGACAAAGATGATGATACCGACGTGGAAATCATGGGATTTTCTGCAGAGGCTGGGCAGCAGTGAGCCAACATCGTGAACTCATTTGACTTGATGGTTGCTTGCAACCTGCTGCAGCTCTGTGCGTTCACCTGGGTGTATAGTATGCAGGCAAATGCAACAAAGCAGATCGCACAGCTTACTGCCCAAGCACCTGAACTTGGCTTCGTGAACAGTGTGGCTGTTTAGGACATTGCGCACTGGCGTGTACTAGTGCTTTGATTCCAGAAACAGTTGAAACTGGACACGGCTCTTGTCAGAGGAGCTGGTGCAGAGATATCGTACCGGGTACCCAACGAGTCCTGGGAGATCTGGTTGGCGATGAACTGTGAGCGCATGGGCTCTTGCACGCTTTCACCTGAATTCGGGGCTGCTCTGTGTAGGAACCAAGCACGACCATAGCTTTTGGCAGCGTGTCGCAGCACCGGCCATCAACGAGTCAGCCCCGTTCTAGTCTGCATGAACTTCCACAAGGACCAAAGGCAAGGAAGAGGCTTGCCTCATGATGGTCAGTTGAAACAAGGACAGCTGGATGTCTTGTATGCGTCTGGATTTCAAACCAGGCGATGTCAAGTGCGGCCTCATAAAGCAGTCAAGCCAAAATCAATAGATGCATGATTGCCTTTCTTTTGATGTGAGCTGTCTTACACGATGCGAAAGGTTTGGAATCAAGCCCTGCTGTCTGGGGCATGCAGATGCTAAGACGTGTCTGATGTGCCTGACTTGGCGACGTGATGTTAGTCTTCCCGAATGCTTTGGCTGAACAGATGTCGCCGACGTCATTCGCAGATCACCTTGTCAGGGATCCCTCTCTGCACAAAAGGAGCCCGAAAGGTGTTTCAATTGAAGCCTTCTCGCCCTGGCGGCGCTGCAGGCTAACCCCTGGGATTCACAGGTTGTCTATGTGAGGCTCTGAGAGCGTTTCTTGCGGTGGTCCAGGCGATGTGATGGAAGGAACACGGGCGTGGGATGTGTGCAGGCTTCTCTGTTCTGCCAAGGTTGGGTCGAAGATCTGCAACATCATGGCACACTACACATCATCGACACAAATTGTCAGCTGCCTGGGCTTGGAGCTGTACTGTAGCTGTTGGTGGCTGAGTTCGCAGTGCTTAGGTTTGTATGACGACGCCTCACGATGTGGTTGCTGAGAGCTCCGAGACCGTATCTCAGCGAGCTGAAGTGGGCACAGATGCTTTGTCAGTTTCTTCTGTTGCAAGGTCATTGACTGTCAGTGTACAAATCTTTGGCGGCCTCGGACTTGTCTTGCACCCAGCGGAGGACTAGTGACTAGTGTACAATCTTGAGCGTGGTTCATGTCCTTTGGCAGAGGCTGGTAAGATCTTGCCCCGTACTCTGTCGGCTTTCTTTTTGTTCTATTAGTCTGATGTTTGGCTGGTGCATCGGGATCTCTTGTTGGTGGGGAGATGGGGTAATTGTCCTGCTGCACTGAGTTGACCAGGTGATGCCGATGCTGCACTACAGCAGAAGAGAATGTCGGAGAGGATCTCGGTAGGAGCATGGAATCTCCGGTGCTTCCTTGTTTGCACTTAGCGGCTTAGCGATCACGTCTCCCTGATGTTGCCCTCATCGCAGCCTGCCTTAGACAAACAGCCGAATGCAGCGCACTTCTCACTCACACAGCCGAAAGCCCGACTGGAGGCCAACTGGAATGTTACTCTACTATGTAGGGAACCAGCATGGTCCGCAGCCAATCTGGAAACGGTTCCGATGGCCAAAATGACATGAGTTCTGAGTATTCAGAGATTGAGCTTCCGTTTTACCGTGCACGGCTTTGAAAGGAAGAGAGAGAGAGAGAGAGAGGTGCGCATGCACTTCCTTTGACTGTGCTGAAGAAGAGAGAGTATCGAGGAGGCCGGGGGTCCATAGAGTACAGGGCACTCGATTCTAGGGGGTTCGCGAGTGGGGGACCTCCGACCTCATCGTTCGAGCAGTTCAGACCGGACACAGTGACCAGTGCGCGCTCGCGCGCGGGGAGGGCGGTGCGTCTTCCCTTAGCTGAAGAAGAAGAGAGAGAGAAATAAGAAGGTACAGGGTTGGGGGATATAACAGTTGTGAGCACACAGGCCTCATCTTTCTCGAGGGGTAGCAAAGACCATGGAGACCAGGGCGCGTCGCCGCGCGAGAGGGGGTGCACGAGTGCCTTCTCTCTGACCGTGTGGAAGAAGAAGAGAAATCAGAAGTAGTTTTTTCATATGGCGTTCAGAGACTCGGCGTGGACCTACATTAGATATGCTTGTCTGGACATGGACTTCCTGTAGAATTTGGCAGTCCTGTGCAAAGGCTTCGTATGCATCCAAGAGCAGTGCCTTTCAATACCACTGGCAGGTTCTCTCCTCAGGCTGTCTTGATTGGGCGACTGATTGCAGAAGCGATTCCACCTCATTATGCCATCATGCTGTGTGTTTCAGGATACCGCCCTTATCCACTGGGCCAACCATTGGGCCGGCCTGGCACTTGGCCACAGGAAAGAAGTTGGGGTACATGCCTGCTTCTAAAACCGATTCTTGAAAGCAAGATGCAGCAGTCGCCTGGCAATCCACGATTGTAGGACAGAATGCATCGGTCTAGTCTTCGCAAGGTACGGGCGGCGACATCATGGAATTTGGTGGTCGATACCCTTGTGAACACGGCTTCGCGAAACAGGGACTTCAATTCATCCATCCGAGGAGACATCCGCGCTGGCGCAACCTCTGCTGGTCAGCCGGGCTCTGAGATTTTTCCGGGCAATGCACGGGTTTTTGTCATGCTTGAACTATGTTGAATGGTGTGTGCTTTCCCGCCGCTCGTGCAACTCATGCTTTGGCTGCTTTAGACGCTTCAGACAGTAGTACGTGCAATCCGCATCGGCCTGCATGGAGAGGCCGAGGAAACGCCTTTCCTCGAAGCAGACGGGAACAAGTCAAGTGTTTTCTCGAAGCAGATGAGGAGTATTGTGGAAAACCCTACATCGAGCGGCCGGGAAAGCTTTTCCTCGGGGGTAGTGCGGGAAACCCTAGATCACGAGAGAGCACGGAGTGAAGTGTCGGGTGTGGGGAATGCTCAAGGAGCACTCGAGCTTACCCCAAGGCCGATCCCGAAAAACACACAACCTAAGCTTGCATTTCCGGGAGTGCTTGAGGACGTTGTGGCGGTGTTTCGACAGTTGAAGCCCTATCAGCTCGATGTCCTCGCTTGGGTGCCCGATTCCTAAGTACTCTCCAGCATCAGGTGAGCCGATCACACGTCAGAACCATAGAGTGGAATGGAACTGTTCCAGCTGTGATTGCTAGTCTGCTGCTAGTCGTCTTACGAGTTGTGGTCTTAAGACGGTTTCGCATGCCTCGTTGCAGTACACTTTAACTTTGCCCCGATCCGACCCCTCCCTCCTCTGATAGCATTCATTCTGTTTGGGGTCTTCGCCGAACAATCTGATGTTTCGTGAACTTGGGATGGCAGGTCGAGCGAGCAAGCAAGACTCAGGGTCGGTCCCGTAATTCACAGCCTTCACGAGATTTTTCAGGCTGTCCTTCCGAAATCCTACCGCGATGAAACCTTGCTAAACCCAACCTGAAGTACTGAAGTACGGCTGCGGGGGGCTCGATGACATCACGAAGGCGAAACAAATTGAAGGGAGAACTTGAGCTTGGACTTGCTGGTTGGACATCTAGCAGGTGCACTCCATGCAGTTGAGGATAATGAACATCAAGCAGTTCTCTTGTACAGATCGAAATGGCCCGACTAATTGAAGATCTGCCATGGCAGCAGTTCTATGAAAGTCTGGCTTCGTGACGCACAGGTCAGCTTGCTATTCCCTGTGTTTTGGCCGAAATTTGTTCATTCCTCGAAGCGTTTTTGTTGAATTCATTGAACAGCTGTGGCTTCTCGTGCGTGTTTCCGAAGCTGGGTGGAGTCCTCTTGCTGGCTTCTGGCGGATTAAACGGAAGAACAAGGTTCGAGATCCGCGTTGGTGATGCTTGGTGCCACGTCGATGAAGAGGCCGGGGGCATCGGTCCAGCTTGTCGAAGCGTCCTTAGCCTGGAGAAACGAGCCCGATCATTTTAGCAGTGCAGGTGTGGCCATTGTCAAACCGCAGAAGGAGTCGAGACCTCAAAGAAGCGAGAATGAACGGCTGGCTCAATGCGCTTCAAAGCCAGGCTGGACAAAGCAAGTAAGTTGCCAGCTGCCTGACGACGACCTGCTGATTCCTGGATATTACAATGCTCCTCTGCAGCAGCCAACTCTCTGCTATCCACTACACCGAGCAGGATTTGTTTCATGTTGGCCTTATTTATGTGTTGCGTCTAGCAGCATGCTGAGTTGAAGGAGAGGGCCCAACACACTAAACTAAGTCGTAATGAAGCCATACGGCCTCGTTTATTGCCAAAGCTTTTCCACTTTGAACCATCTGGCACTGGTCCAAGGTGACCATAAGGGTCAACAGCCGCTGCCTCAAACTTGTGCACGCCCTGACCTGCCAGCGTCCGGACCTCCGGCCAAGGCTTGGACAGAGCGGATGGCGATTGTCCGAACAGCTTGTGTTTCCCATACACGGAGGAACAGGCAGTGGACCTCCTTGTGCCTTTCTGCGTGTGCTTAGAGAGATCTGAGCACAGGCTGGGACAGGATACGGGCATGGGTTCGCAGCAATCGCTGGAGTCCCGGCTTGGTTGTCACATGCCATGTTTTGCTAGTTTCATCGCTTACAGCAGAGCCAGTGGAAAATAGAAATACCCTCGCAGGTGAATCCGCCTCCATCTGATTCGAACGGCAAGTTGAACAGGTGCTCAGACGGGCATGTACGTTGCAGGCGGAATCTCTAGGGTTTATGAGACGTAATCCGGCGCAGGGTATGGGGTGGCATGTTGGACATCGTGCCACTCGTCAGCACTCCCCAAGAGCTTCTGCAGCAGATGGATGGACATGTTTTGTCATCCGCCGCCCCAGCCAAGGACAGGACACACATACCACTTTACGGTATATCCACAGGTGAGGCTTTCCCCTTGCATGGCTGGCCTCAACTTCAGAGGAAGTTAATAACAGATGGTTTCGCTGTGAGCATCTGGAAAAGATCGACGACAAGAGGATCGGACAAAACTCACTGAGCGGCACCCTGCGAAACTCACGGCTTCTGCTTTTTCTTCGGCATCTGGTGTCTGGTGTCAGTTGGCACATGCAAGTGGCAGAGCGCATGCAAGTGGCAGAGCATCCCGGGGGGAAGAAAGCTTTAGCGTGAAAGTCTTCGACACCTGCCCAAGCAGCCCAACAACTGGATGCACGCAACAGTGATCAGATCCAAGCAACCAAGTAAACGACAAAATGCAAGAGCTCGATCATTGCCTGAGTTCTGAGCAAAGCCACTGCGGGACATGATTTACTAGATCAAGCTTCAACCCGTGGTCGGATCAGTCTCTTTTTCTGTCTGAACGGTGGATCCAAATTATTCAAAGTATCTTCGTCCCGTAGCTCGGTGCAGCCGTGTGCTTCTTGTTCCGGGCCTAACTTGTTGTCCGCGTCTGAAGCTGACAGCTTTTCGATTTGAGATGTTTGCCTTTGCCTTTGCCGGATGGGCAAAAGACAAGAACGTTTTCTCGATGAGTCAAAGTGACTGCTAGGGGTGGACAGCATCGCTTCTTTGATGCCGAGTCATTGAGTGGTCGACCGCTGCCTGCCAGGTCAACTCGATTGAACCATTGGAAGGTGGCCTTTATGGCTGCACCGGCATGTCTAAAAGCAAATTCAGAGCCATGTGTGTTATATAGTTGCAGTGATTTGACGAGTGATGCCCTTAGCCGCAGAGGGATGCAGCGGGCATGCAGTGCACTTGTGCGGTTGTGCGCGTGTGCATCAGGTGACAAGCTCGTTCGCCGATGCTACTTCTCGAGTTTGCCAGTGCGGGCAGCAAGTTGTTCGAATAGAATAGCTTTCCAAGCGACACCATGGCCGGTGCTGACCGTCCGCCAACCTCCCTGACGAGCACAGCTGGGGCGATGCCTTTGCAGAGGACAGGCCGACAACCACGGGAGCAAGTCAGCCCGCGACAGGAGCTGGAGACGCTTGCGACAGCCGTCGACAGGTGTTCCTCAGCGGGCTCATGGACACCCCAGAGGACGACTTGGAACAGCTGTGCCACTGCGCCGGAAATCCCGGTCGAAGTTCTTGCACAGTCGCTGGCAGAAGGACATTTTACGTTCGACGGGCAGCCTGTGCCCGGGTCACAGTCGTTCTACATTGTACAATGCCGAGTGGTTTGGAGCAACACAACTGTTTCCAACGGCGTGCTCGAACAAACCATTCACCTCGCACCAGCTCCCACTTCAGAGTGCGGTGGTTCTGCGAACAAGCTGTCCACGGTCTGGAAGTCCCAGGACTCCGGATCTGCCGGAGCTTCTTCTTGTAGACGAGGAAGATCCGTCCACGCTCGCTCGGGATGAGAGGTTCGCCTGACTGGCAACCCTTTGGGAACTGACGAAGAAACCCTGCTTAGCCGGTTAACCCGCAAAAAGCTGGGTTCTTTGACGAACCTTTGTTAAGTGTGTGCTCAGCCGCCGTGTTGTCCACAAGGCAAACGATGCACTCGAACTGAGCGCAGGACACAACTGCGATTGCAAGCACCACGCTAGGCAAAACCGCTTGGAGCGGGGAAAGGCGGCGGCACGGCCGTCGGCAGTTTGGACTGACAGGGGCGATGGCAGGTGCAGACTTCGCTGGTGGCCGCGGCGAGGCGGGCGGGGGGGCTGCGGCACCGGAACGCCCTGCTGCGCTCGGCAGTGGTCAGCACTGCCCAGGGTGGGCTGGGGGACCTGGGTATTGTTCGGCGCATGAGGCGGTTGCTGTTCCCCATGCGCAAATTTACACGCAGATCCGAACTTGCAGAGACCGGCACGGGCAGCAGGGAGGCGACACTGAGAGGATCAGTTGGGGAGGTCGGAGTTGACCCAATCCCGCAGCTCCTGGACCGGTATGGTCCGGGCCTGGACCAACTTGTTTCTTATCGCCCTTGCCTTGGCCTTCGGCATCGGGCGGCAGGAAGGAGCCAAGGCGTCGGCGACGCCAGCGCCTTCGATGACCTGTTTGTATGCGACAGCAAATGGGGTTCCTTCTCGCATCTTATAGAGCTCCCTGATATGCGGAAATTTGTTGGGATGCGCTCGCCAATTTCCGAACCAGGCGCACCACTCTGCCAAGCAAATCTCAGGACCCCAGCTGGCGAGCAGGAGCGCCAGCTTCACGGACTCCTCTGTGAAGCTTCTGAGGCTTCGGGATGTGACGAGGGGCTTTGTCCTTCATGATCATGCGCGACCCCGCGACCGGCTCATAATCTGTCCCAAAGCGATGAACTGACGATGTGCAACGATATCGCCGAGACGACGCGGGCCGAAACGACCTGGTATAGCCTTCTCATGCTCATCGGATCCGAACAGCAAGTGTGTACAGGAACTGACGGGCGATTCCTCCTATTGTCTCGGCCTGGTACTCTTGAAGACGGTGAAGTCGGCCCAGTAGCCATCTGCAACTTTTTTTCGCCTTCGAACTGGCGGTGATTGCCGGGGCGGGCACGCCTGCAGGCGCCGGTGTCGTTGCTGCCACACGAGCTGCACGCACTAATGTGATTTCAGCCACCATCAACACGTCGTCAAGCTTGAAGGCCACGCCTTTGAACAGTTTAACACCTCCCCCACAGATGGACTACAACACTTTCTTCAGGGCGGACGGGTCCTGAAAAGTGTGGTAGAACGTCCCTGAACTTTTTGATGCCGTGATCCATAACCGGAGCTGCAGTAAGTAACTTCGGCTCGAGGTCTGAATCAGTGGCCAGGTCCTTGAGAACTGGAAGCGCCTACGGTACCGTCGCCATCGTCAGAAGGCCTTTGCGGCAACGGGACCAGCGGGTTCGGGCTGTTCGGCCACCTGAGCAGCAACTGCGGACAGCACCGAACATTCGGTGCCACGTCACAAAAACCACAGGCAACTCACAGAACTGACAGAGGTTCGGCGAACGGTGCCGTTCTGGGGCCTGCAATCTATCGTACGCTGCGACCAGGTGTTGGGGCAAGAACGAGCCGTTCTTAGGACGACTTGGCCCCCCGAACGAACCACCAGTTGAACTGCCAGGTCCCAAGCGCCTGTCCACGGGTGGTCTGCTTCCCTGTGACGCTGTTTAGCTGCACTAAAGTATTGTGAGCACCGGACCTACACTTGCGCTCCTTCAACAGGCCCCCACCTTGAAGATTGATTCTGTGGTGAGTGGCAAAGGTCCAGTGAACGGGATGCACCAAGCGCGCTGCCAGATCTTCCATCGAGACTCCATCGGCGCCTTGGTCGTCCGGGCACACTGGTCCTCCAAAAATACATCAACCAAGCTTTCGCAGCTGGCGTGTCCGCCTTCCAGAGGGATGTGCTGCATCGAACTTCTTGCGTACGGGTGCACCACCGGAAGGTCTGCTCGGGACTTCGGACGGGCTGCTGGACTTGCGGCAGATTAAAGGGGCTGCAGCAACCTGTCTAAAGCAACGTTGGCCTGTAGCTGCCTGGGTGCTGCTGACAATTGCGCAGCTGACGTGATGCATGCAGCCCCCAAAGAAGAGATCACTCGAACCAGCGACCGGAAAGTGTGCTGAGAACTCCTTGCCGAGAGGGCATCCACTGTTGTCTGTCGGCTCGAGAAAACGTTCCCTGCCGGGCGCCAAACTGCTCTCTCTACAAAGCTGTCGCTCACTGCACTGTACTCGAACGGGCTCGGGCACCCTGAACGCAAAGCACAAAGAAGCCGCAAAAAAGGAACCCAACGCAAACCCGGGAGGAGCGCAGCACGCGCTCGCCGACGAACGAGCGTCGCACAAGGGTCGGGAAACCAGGGCCGATCGTCGGGCCGGGGACGAGCAAACCAGAAACCCACGAATTTGCGAGCAAAACTTTTCGCAAGGTCTGCGGGACGATCTGGCGCCCACGGCACCAGATTTCCCTCGGCTTGACCCGAAAAGCAGGAGGCACGAGATTTCTCTCATTTTTTCACACTTGTTTCCGCTTGATCCGTTGCGATACCTAGGAAGCTGCGCGCCTACGAAACCGGCGCTCAGGCATCGGGTGCCCTGCGACGAGCACCATGGCCAACGCTGTCACGAGGGCTGCGCTACAAACAGCGCGCAGCACGGTGAAGGAACACGCGCTCCGCCACCGGTGCACCCAGCCATGCGCATCTTAAATTATGTAGTATGTAGTCAATCAGGCCACATCAGGCTTGCGGACGAGACCCAGAGCAAAGGGGAGCCCCAGCAGCCAGTCCAGGCCAGGAGCATCGCGGAGCACTTCGCCGCGCAGCTGCAAGAAGTTTAAGATGCAATTGGGGCTTGGGGTTCTCGGTGGCGTCTCTCTTTCGGCATGTAGGCCCCGACAAATCAGCTGGCAGGGTTGTCGGTTCAGGTCGGCTGATGTTCGTTTCATGTTTCAGAAGCTCTCTGTCGCCTTGTGCACAGCAGTGACGTTTCAGGCATCGCGCAAGTGGCATGAGCACGCAGCTGACTTTGGGCAAAACGCCCGCTAGGATCAAAAGCCTCGTCAGTGGCGATGTACCTTGCCGCACTGGCCCGACGGCCCGACGGTGCGCCAAGTGCTGTAGTTCTTGGTGAACTGGGCTGGGCGCCTTACTTGTTTGGAGTGCTGCGATTGCAGTTTAGTCTTGTCCGCACCTGGCTACTGCTGATAGCATGCTGATAGCAGCATGTCTCCTCAACTTTGCTTTGCAGCAGCCAAGTTCGTGGGCACATAGTGTTTTGCGAAGCTTGCAGGGTGCTGGTATGCCGCTCTCCCATTCACGTGGCCTCGTGCCTGGCGGTGGTGGAAGGCAGCTAGCGCATTGGAGTCGGCACGCCTTGCGACCGGTATTGCTGCAATGTGCTCACACATTGTATCGTGGGGAATCGTTGGCACTGCCGTCCGTCGCCGACTACGCCGTGCTTCAGCCTCATTTGCATGGCGGCAACACTATTCATTTCTCGCGGCTCTCGTCGCCTTTGCTTCGGGAGTGGGCGGAGACGGCGTAGGGGCAGCACCCGGAATAGCGCACTGGGGAAGTGCACATCCGCATGCGTGGGCAAAACAGTGGTGGCCCGGGTGAACAGCAGCCCGCGAGATGCACGGGAGAGGTCGCAACTGCGCTCATCACAGGCTCGGGCGGCCCGCCTCTGCCGGCGATGTAGAGCCTTCAAACACGAACCAAAACCCGCAAGCAGCAGCGATGTGGGCCTAGCGAGTGCAGAGGTGGCGGCTGTCCAAACATCGGACCCCAACTCTTCAGCCTTCCGCAAGTGCAGCGAGGACAACGTACTCGGCATGGTTCGAACAGGTCCCAGTATTCGGGCGGTCACGGAGAACGGCAACCCGTCTGGCACCACGGCCGGGAACCTGGGTTTAGGTTGTCCGGACCAGACCTGTCCCTTCGCCACCGGGTATTGCACGTGGCTCGGCTGCAACACCGCGACTTGGGGCTGGCGGAAGCTGCTGCGAGTCGGCCTTCTTCGCCACGGTCTTCTGGCCAGGCCGGCATCGATGTGGGCCTCGGCGTGGTCGCAGTTCGGTCGCAGACAGAACGCCAGCCCAGTCGTGCAGGTCGAGGCGAGAAAAAGAGAGCCTCGACCAGTGTGCCAGATAGCAAGTAGAGAGGAGGGAGAGTTGTTTGGTTGTGCACGTGTGCATCAAGTGACAAACTCTTTCGACGATGTTACCTCTGAGTTCGGCAGAAGGTTTTTTCGATTCCCGCTTCACCCGCCCTGACGACCTTCCCGTCCGATACGAGCGTGCCGGTGAAAACGGTTCTTCTTGCTCCAAACCAGTTCGGTCGCAGACAGAACGCCAGCCCAATCGTGCCGGTCGAGGCGAGAAAGGAGAGCTTCGACCAGTTTGCCAGCTAGCAAGTAGAGAGGAGGGAGAGTTTGTGGATTGGCTATGTGACCTGTCCTGATGGATCCGTGTGAGCACAGCGCAGGCTCACGGCTGCGAAGGGAGTGTCGAACTCCGGGTTGACGCTTTGCGCGTGTTTGGGTTGGTGAGCAGCATATTTTAGTGGCGTAGCTACCACTTGCAGCGGATATGATCTGATGGTTGCCTTAGTCATAGTCGACCGTCTTGGAGCTGTGCAGGGGAGGTTGTCGATTGTGTTGTCGTGGCACCAAGAACGGTTATGAGATGTGTAGACAGAAAGAGTCAGGTATCAAACAGGTATAAGGTGTGTTCTGGCGGTTTCAAGCGATATTGAGTCACTGAGGAAGATACTTGAGCAGGGTTTGAGAGATGAGAGGGTTTGGAAGTTTGGCATAGTGGCAGGTGGCAACAACCTGACGATCCATGGATCTTCGTTTGCTGCCGTGGGCTCAGTCCTTCGCAGGTTGTGTGCGAAGCCTTGGGAGATAACAAATTGAGAAGTTGCTCGAATTGTAGTTGTTCAGCTTCTTCTGCTAACCCACAGCCTCTTCTTTTCCTAATTCGGTTTTGCGCGAGCTTGGGACATGGTCCTTTCCCAAGAAAGATGGGATGCATTCCACATCGCTGGGTGCATCTTCGCACCTGTGAAGTAGGTGCTGGGCCGCAGACCCACAGAGGACAGGAATTAATTGAGGGGCACGTGTCGGCGCAGGGGTTCGAATTCGAATTACGCGTTTTGAGTTCTTGACTCAACGGGCGACTGTGTTGGGCAGATCTGGAGAATCGACAGGTGCTAGATCCGTAGTTCGACGCTTTTCCGCAGGTGCCGCCATGATTTTCACGTGGGCTGCACGACTTCCTTGAGCTCAGGCAGAAATGGAGGGCAACCAGGTGACTGTCGGGGGCGTTCCGTGTGAGGCACGTGTCGCTGGACGAAGCCCACACATGTGTGCTCAGAAAGCTGCGTGCACGCAGAGGTTCTGGAGGCCACAACAGACACCATTGTGTCAGGGGCCTGTGCCGCTGAGAGGGTCGTGTGCACAGTGGGTTGCATGCTGATGCTCGACGGAAGAACCCGAGGTGCAGACTCGGCCAGTGGAATGACGCAGCGGATCGTGGCGAGACTGTCCGTGGGTTGGGATCTCGGACATCTTGTCTAACTGGAGTGCACTAGACCTTTGCAGGGCTTTCGATGAATAAAGAGAACAACAACCTGGGTGTGTCAGTGGCATAAGAGGTTGCGTCTGTCCTCCACGCTGTTGATCGCCTTGCTTAAGTGTCCCAGCGTCGCATGACTAGGCGTTCAATCATCGATATGAATGAATGGCTGACGTCGGCAAACATTTCATGGGTTGGCAAGTTGCAAGTACGTGGCTGCTATAGATTGCCACCTGGAAGTTGTTTTTGGATCGCTTCAGTCGAGGCTCCACTACAACAGATGGAACGACCGGCGTCGCCGGGTGCCGCTGCAGCCGTTGAGAGAACATTGCCTTAAAGTGTACTTTTATTTGAGGGAACCTCGGTTGGGGAAAGGCATCTTGAGACTGAGCCGTAATGCATGTACGTAAGTCCTTGGTCCTCTGGACGCTGCAGTGAACCTTGTAGATGAAGTTTGCAGGCGTGGGGCATTAACAACATCCCGGCCAAGGAGGCGCAGTGCCCGACAAAATTCCCGGGGTTCAGATTCCAAGCTATCTGCTGCGAAGGCCAGGGGCGATGCCTTCGAGACCGGCTTTCTGAAGGTGGGGGCACAGACTGTTTGACCACTTTCTCGTTCTTCTTGTGATAGGGTTTAGGGTTTCGGTGTTGTGCATTTTCCGTGGTGGTCGCTTCAGCCGAGAAAGCGGCGAGGGCGTGCTTGGATTAGCCCCAGCTAGCCAGCCAGCCTCGTCGAACGTCGCTAACAATTCCTCTTTCAAAACCTGTGCCTTGCTGGGTGAGGCCTCTTTGTTCCAAGTTGCCACAAAAGAGCCGTGGGACAACGACCCGGCCCGGGACCCTTTCACTGCTTCTTGCTTGTGCTGACAGACTCATGGGTTGACAATGCAAGGGACTCGATCGCACACTGCTGGAGCTAGATGGCTTCTTCGCAGCGGACCCGATTGCTCCGACACGACGAAGGACTCGAAGAGAACGTGCTGGCTTGTGTCAGGTACCGCCTCTTGAAGCGAACTACAGCTTCTACATTTGTGGACTGGGTCTGAGTGTGTCTACTTGGAAACAGGGGAACGCAGCAACTGCCAGCTACATACAAAATGAGGCGATGATGGTGCAACCTTGGAGCGGCTTGCCTGAAGTCGCAGATTTCTTGTGACTCGCCATCCTTGCAACTGCCAAGGATCGGTGAAGATGCGGGTATGCCGCATTCCACACTTCGCACTGTGGCATACTTTGGAGAATGGGTTGGGGTCTCATACGGTTATGCACGGCTCAGCACCGGATTGCCACCATCAGATTCATCGTGCTCCTATGAAGACAGTGTGCAGTAAGCACTCCTTGCCCCGATCATGAGGTGACTTCCAGCGACTACGGGATGATTTCGCCTTTCTGCTGGCCAGCCATCGGACAGGCTTTTCAGCTCTGGGAGGAACTGCTGTCCCTCCTTTAGGTACTTCCGCGAAGATGTCTCGTCTGGCGACTTCACAGGAGCATACTGCGTGGTGGGTTTTGGGAGATAGATCTCATGTTCACTGCAGGCGACGACAAAAAGATCTCTGATGATGTGCGGTTGGAAGCTGGTGAGCAGTTGCCTCAATCGTGGCTCCTTGCGCTGAGATCTGTGGACGCTGGGTGCGTTGCCAATGCTTGATACCTGCAACATACCGGCTCGAAGATGAGCCGAAGGCTGAATTTGTGATGGCCTGGGCCTCTCGGGCCCTGGCCTTTGACCCATGTCCACGTTGCCGTCCTCTTTCCCATGGACCAAGAAACAAGAGCTTCCTCAGTTGCAAAGGAGGAATTCCCTATTGTCTGGACTTTGGCAGGCTGCTGAAGCTGGCCTTGTGGATGAAGAGCTGCCCTTCTCTGCAGTTACGGTGAACCTGCCGAACTTGAGTGCGCCGATCCACACCACCGTGCAATCTTCGAAGGAATATGTGCGAGGATCAGAACACGTCAGTACACACAGTGGAATCAGTCTCGTCAGCACAGAGAAGCGCAAGGCCCTCTTGTCCACACTCGAAGATGGGGCCCGATACACGCAGCGCTTCAAGGATTGTTGCCGACGCAAGTACGGAAAGCTTGTCGTAGCATGGCGGATCCTACTGGATCCGGGTGGCAATGGACGTGTCTCTTTCGTGCCTTTCTGCAACGCGGCACGAGCCATGGGCTTTGTGAATGTCTCCACGCCACCCGCTTGCACCCATGATCGGTTTGGTGTTTTCTCGTCTTCAGCGATATTGCAAGCACTTGTGCTGTCAACGTGGGACTCTCGCAAGAGTTCTTGGATCGCGGATTCCCTTGTCAAGTGGACACGTGCAGGTGTGCTACGCATTCGTTGGTGACTAGTGATTCTGGGGTCGTTCCCTTGGGTTCATGTTTCAAAGCAGGCTTTGGCGGCATCTGGACGTTAAGTGCACCGGCTTCCTGACACTGGACAGCTGGGATCCCCACTCATATCGAGTCCTCATGGAATTCCGGGAGCATCTTTGCTGAAAGCGGTATGAGTCTGAGATTTTCGCTAATCTTTCTGCCATTTGGCAACTTCGCACCGCTGCAGACTCCGACCGGTGGTAGGACAGGTGTTGTGTTGCCTGCCTGAACACTGTGCTGATCGTGGCTTGAGCTGACCCCAAGGATTTGCAGATCTGAATTCGGAGGAGTTGTGGAGGCTTTCAAGTTCGGAATGAACAGGACCGGATCAGGTGCTTGTCGCGAGCTTACTTCTAAGCTGTGGTCAGATCTCTGTTGCAGAAGTCATTCCTGCGAACGCGAAGCCAACCGTGAAAGCGCACTAGTCACCAAGGTTACAAGAAAGAGTTTGAACAGTTTCTGAAGAATTTCGAGTTCTCTGGAGATTACCAAATCCTCTGGGATGCTTTGGACAAAGATCGCGGCGGCTTTATCACAGCATCTTGCTGCCACACATGAGAGTGTTTGGACTGTGGCAACGTTTCGTAGGTATTGTGCTCGCAAGTTTTGTTGCGGTTTGCACCCCAGTTTTCGTGCAAATCGTGTAAACATGTCGGACTGGCCAGACAAGCACGCTACCTGTAACGGTTACTGTAACGGTCAGAAAGGTTGGTGTGCGAGCTTTTCCGCGACTCTTGCATCGGTGCCCAGGTTGATGAGCTTTTTTTCTTAGCACGATGGCAGGGCGAGCGCTTCCGACCTGAGAAGGCTCTTGAACTTCAGAATTATCGACTAACAGTGCCTGTGAGAGCTGCCTTAGAGCATGCTTTAGCCTGCTGCTTGCTGATCTTCTGCAGAGTTTCGCTTCCATACCGTGCTGCAGGTCCAGCGTGAGTTCAACCTGAACCTTGTGCGGTTGAAGATTTGCAAGCAGCAACGACAAAAGCATCAAGCGAGGAGATGTGCTGAGTTCGACAACGCGCATGTGATTTCAGCTAGAAGTTGGCATCGGTGCGAGGATGAACGAGTTCAAAGCTCGGATCGAGGACGAGCAGCAAGTCCTGGCAGCTTGACTTCGGTAAGGTGGAAGCAGCCCACGCAACCACTCCTTCCAACATCTGGTTGCATCTTATGCGTCCTCTACAACAGGGGCTGAGGACGAAACTCAGTTTCACGACACTCTGCAAGTCCTGCTTCACACACACACACACCAGTTTTCCTGGTGCTACTTGGGCTCTTCCGTGCGATGGCGTGCAATCGTGAAGTCCCTTGACACGTGTCACCATACCAGGGTGCTGAGAAACGCGTTTGGCTGCCTTTTCAGAGTGAGATTCGGCTCTCTCTTATGGTATCACTCTCTCCCGCGTGTAGCGTGTTCTTAAGGATTTTAGTGCAGACTCAGAGCTATGCACTTTAGGGTCACAGACCTAGCTTGCCACATCCCATCTTCCGGCTGCTTGGGCTTGTCCTAAAGTCCAAGCAGCGCTGACTCCAAGACGTTGGTCCCTAGATTCTGAAGGTCTCCCACGTTCCCCACATTGCATGCAAATGTCCATGCCACAGGGAGAGTGGTGTACATCGTCAACGTTTCGGAGGCAGAAATGAATCTTTTGGAGTATGCTGGGGTGTCGGCAAAAGCGAAGGATCATGAACTATCTGCAGAAGCAAATATCTGCGAGGCATAGGAATCCGAGTGGCTGTGTGTGTGGGGCTGCTGCGTTCATGTTTGCAAGCCACCTTCGAAAGTGGGTTGAGTGCGGTGTATGATTGTACCGAAGCAGAATGTCAGTCTGTCAGAAAAACTGCAGCGTGAGGCTTCCGTGATGTCTTGTGGCTTCTGCTCAAGCCATGTTGCGAAGGAGCATGTCGTGGTCCATCCGTGTCTAAGATCCCGCTAAGGAACGAAACCGGAGCCTACGGATGGCAGCTGCTAAGCAGCATGTCCGTCTGACTACCGCAACTTGGCAGCTCTGTGCATACAATACTTTGATGATGTTCGCGGTCCTTCTGTCTGGCCAAGGAGCAAGTCCGATCAGCAGAAGAAGAGGACTCTAACCCAGCCGCTGATGCTGACAGTGACAAATCGGATGTATCGTGAATGGAGCGAAGTGCTTGGAGTTGCATTATGTTGTGTCTCGCAATTGTTACTTGTGATTGCGAGTGCTCGGCACAAGCTACTGTATGTACTTAAGTAAGATGCTGCTCTTGGTTCGCTGGTAGACAAGTCTGTTCTCACCTTGGTATGTGTAGCAGAGCAGCTTCATTAAACCATTCGCTCTGCTGGGACTTGAGAGCAGATGCGGATCTTGCCACCCAACGCGCCCTCAAACAGGGACGACGGACAAGCCTGCGAATCCTGCTTGATTTTCCCTCAAGTCCATGGATAGAGAGACGCACTGTACCAAAAAGTCAGTACGAGCTGCGTTTTGCTGCGTGCTATCTTTGCATGTGCTTGGCGTGTTCTGGCGCCGAGGCATTTCCCGTTTCGCTTGAGGCATCACTCCGGAACAGGCCGGAACATGTCCCCAGGGAAATGACGTGGCTCCTAGCAGCTAATTCCAGGAGCCAATTGGATCCGCTTTGGCATGAAGGTGGTGTTACTTTGTCACGTTGGACTGGATTCCCAGTTGCTGTTTTGAATGGAGGTTGCTGGCCTGAGTACGGCCACAATGGACAGAGCCTTATCAGACCTTATCAGGGTCCCAAAGCTGTTTCGAACATTGGCGCTTGCTGAGCCATGCAGAAGCTCAGGCTGATGGCTCCCTGCTGCAAAGCAGCCAAGCAAGCAAGCTCAGGGGTTTGACTGGCAGGGTGCATGGGATTGTGTGATGAAGTTCTGGATCCTTACATACGACTTGAGGTGGAGGCCATGACAGCCATTGCTCCATCAATGGAGCTGCAGGCTGACAGACGTTTAGTTTCCATTCAACTCCCTTGCCGTTGTCTTGGTAGACAGATCCGCTATAGCCTCGACGTTCACGAGTTTGGAAGGTGATTAGGCTCACCTCGAGCGGTGTTCTTCGAGAACAGCACTATGTGTCAGCCTTACAACCTGCAAGACGGCTTGTCGTTCGCGTAAAAGTCCTTTCTGTCCACCTTGTACCCGTTTCGGCGATCCAAATGTATTCTTCATGTCTTGATGCAGGTGCAGATTGCAGATGTCACTCAGCCAGGAAGCTTTCGACTTCGCCTGGCCCTTCTGAAAGTGGCTGGGTGTGGGATGCAGAAACACGCAAGGGGCTCCTCATGCTCAGGTCTCATTGGACAACTGGGCGAGGATGGGTCATTTGGGTTTCCAGTGCAGAGTACGAACGTCGTTTACCTCTTCCGTACATGTGTTTGGCAGGAGGCGTTTATCACTTTCTCGAATTCAGTGGAATTTGGCAAAGTGAGGCGCCTGTGGCACGGATCGCTTCCTGTAAGCACTGAGCGATTGAGAAGATTCGGGTGCAGGGACGACATCCGCGATGCGAGGGCCGCGGACTCTGAGAGTCGACGCGGCTTCTTTTTCGGTGCCGTCTTGGGGTCCCTTGGTTTCAGTCTCGTATCTGCCTTCCTTGACGGCTTGACGCACAGCTGCGGTTTCTGACTCTCTGGTTTTTCCTTACAAGGCTTCCTTTGGGCAGCTTGAATTTGTGCATAATCCCAGACCCTCTCCCAAATCTTCAATCAAAATAGCAGCTCGCATGCAAGTCATCAGGCATGTTGTGTGTGTCTCTGTGTCTGCGAAAAGGTCATCGTCGCTGGAGAGGAGCCTCGAAGGTGCTGGTAAAGACAAAGAGTCCAGGAGGGCCTCGTGAAGTTTCCTGTGTCAGGCTCCATGATTGCAGAAGTGTCTCCGGTGACGACGATGAGTCGGTTGCTGCGCCCATGCGTCGTTTCATTCTCTCCTTCAACTGTCCGCTTGAAGCCGCGACCTTGCAATCAGCAGTCTTCGCCACTGTCGGTCTCCGTAATTGCGCTGACACATGTCTTGAGGTCGGCCAGACGAACTGGATCAGGCCAGCTCAGAGAATCTGAAGGGCTTCGGGGTGCAGGTCGAGGTTGTGAATCCCACGACACTACCATCATCACATGAATTACTTCGAGCCCTCGAGCTTCTCCACAGTTGCAGTCTGAACAGGATGGAAGTATACGATGCGGGCGCCGGGGGTGCAACAGTCGGCCAGTTGCAGACAGCCACGGCCTTTCTGCACTCAGAAGTTCTGCCCGCTTGCGGTGCTTGCACCTTGCTTGTGCATGCAGTTCTGTTTAGGCCACGGCACCTTTGTCGGGCAGCTTTCAAGTGGGCCACAGTGGCAGCTGGAGCCAGTCGATTGATGCCTCAAGCTTACCTGAGACCAGAGGGTCATTCTGAAACATTTCATCATGGTTCATGCAGGCCAGGACTGCAACACGCAGCTGGTCGCACATCGCATCAAGAGTCACAGCGATGAGGAGATAAATAGCACACTCCTTCCTAGAGGGAACATGAGTTGCTCCCAGGAGACCTGCAGCCGACCCGGCCGGGCAGCTTGAGTTGGAGCCGCTTGGCCAAGTGCAGACGGTTGCCGGCTTTAGGCTTTCAAAGCCTTTGGAAGGTGCTGGAAGCATAACTGGGGCTGGACCACCAGTCAGATGCTTACACCGGCTGCTCGCTGCAGAGCGTCTCGCACAGGCTTCACGCCTTCGTTGCCCAGGTGAGCAGTTTCAACTTCTTGTTCGCTTCCGCCGGCCCATCGGCAACGTACCCGAACTGGAGCTCAACACCACAGGCACCCAAAAGCACAACCTTTTCCGTGGAGCGTCGACACCGTGCGACAGCCACCCAGAAGGAAAAACTGAAGCACAGCTTCATGAGCTATCAGACGACTCGCTTGTAGACACAGGAAGATCGCAGGGCCGGGGAGAGTACGCAAGCTGTGCAAAAGTGAACACACGGGTGAATATAGGTTTGTTTCTATGACTGTACGACGACTACACGGATATACTTGCTGCATGAATGGTTGGTAGTTGCCCTGACCACGGTTAGCCTGTAGAATGTACTCGAGTGGCTATATGCCTAGAGACAGACAGAGTCGGCATGCAGAAGCGTGGTTTATTTGATGGTCTAGTTGTTTGTCTGTCCGTTTAAACCTAACGACTTGGCTGTCCATTTGGTGTGCATCGCTGCATCCGGTTGCAGGTCTGCTGGGAAGCGGCTTCCAATTGCAGGCTAGAAAGACTCAGAAGCGCAGCATGATGACACCTTTGGTATCTAGGGAACAGAAGCAGGATGACAGTTGGGCGATGGGTCGGTGAATTCAGCGACGTTGTGGGGTGCAAGGTCTTTACCTTGGAAGATGGCGATGCCGACGCAATCTTCCTTGAGAAGGTAGGGGCCTTCCTGTTTGTCGCAGTGATTTTCTCGAGACTCTACGGTTCTGCATGGGTTGTCCTCGTTTGCAAGAGTTGTGCAGAAGGGGCGACCTAGTGCTAAGAGTGCCGAATCAGTGGGTATAGTACGGTATAGCTGTTGCTGCCAGCTCGAGAGACCTCCCAGGTCCCGCTCGACATGTTCCAGGCCAAGCCTGTGGCACTAGAGTGCGCCTCAAATCGACTCTCTCCAAGCCCGGAAGATGCCAGGTACCACGTCCATCCGATGCGGCAGCAAAGCCAGTTCGTGTCATTTCAGAAGGAATCCTCGGTGCCTACGGTGGTTCTAGCCCGATAGGTTGCGGCCCCATGCAGTGAGCCCTGTCTCGTGGTAAGTCTGGTAGACCTTTCCTTGTCCAGCTTACAGTCGACCGTTCTCTGAGGCTACAAGTATTCAGGCAGCTTGGTGCCAGTACTGCACAGTGCTATGCCATCCAGCGTGACCGCAGATGACAATCTGCAGGCACCTCATACCTGGTCTGGATACGGGTAGGCCTTGTCAGGCCAGCCTCCTTGCGCTCTGAGCAGCTAAGGACCTTGGTCATTAGCAACATCCAGACCTACAACTCGACGGGTTGGATTCAGGACAGAACAGGCATTGAGCGACGATGAGGAATTCCGTGCCTCGTGGCAGCCTACCCTGCTCTGACAGGACTTACAAGTGTTGTTGGGAGAGGACGCCGGCCAATGCAAGGACCCGTGCCCTAGCCTCGCAGCGAACACACCTCATACCTCGTCTGCTTTGCAGCCCTATAAGGGCAGTGCAGTGTCACAGCGTTTGGCAAGGACTTGCACGAGGTGTCGGAGGAACAGGGCAATATCACGGTGATCTGCAGGCGAAGGGAGCTGCCGGGTTTTCCCGGTTCTCTCTGTGCACTGGTCAGGTTGGAGAACGCTCGGGCTGGAGAGCCAGAGCCCTGGAGTCTAGCTTCGTGGTTCGAGACGCCTTCAAAGGAACCATGAGAATCCATCGGCTTTTCGGCTTCTCGTTTGGGTGCAGACCGTGGCAAGCAAAAGTCGGTGCAAAAGTGAGAAGAGGCAACTAGCAAGAACCTGGAGCATGTGGGCTTTCGCGTGGCTGCCGTTCGCATGTGTGCATGAATTGGAGCGTGTCGGTTCCCTTCGCTCAACCAAACATAAAGCTCCAGCTTCTTCGTGTGTCCCCGGAGCCGTTTCTATTTCCTGTCTCGTCGCGTTTTGCGTTGACTCGTTGCCGCTGCAGTGTGAGGCACGCCGTGCATCTCATCTCCGTCTCACAGGGGCAGGCGGAGCCGTCAAAGGCTGGAAGACGCCGTGCAACACTGGCTTAGTCTGTTCACTATCACTAGCATGCTCTGCCTATGAGGCTCCGATCGTCTCTGTGGAGCCGGTGGTCGAAGAGGTGAGGTTTGCAGGGTGCAGCTGTGTGCAACTGGGGAAGGTATCGGAAGCACAAGCTGCAAAGGTGACGGGACTGCTTGGATCTTTGGCTGGTGGCACTGTGCGGTTCCCGAGATGCTCAGCACGTCAATGCGTTATTCGACCCTAACTTGCGCGACCTACTTGTCGCATGATCTGGAGAGGTCCTCGTCTTTGTTGGCGCGGGGCTGCGTGGACTGTCTGGATCTTGGCCGGGACGATACTGCCCAGAGGCCCTCGACTGCTGCTGCGATCCAGGACATGCTCCGATGTATTGGTCGCCGGGGTACCGTGCACGGTGCCCGCGGCCAGCAACATCCAGGCATCAATGGCAAGCAAAATCGAGTCGCATGTCGGCGTTTGAAGACTTTGCGCGGTGTCCTCGCAGGTGATGCTTCAGAACTCTAGCCTCGCATGTTTGACTCCAAGCCTTGCCAGCTGCTGCCCCAGAACCGGACCACGGGCGGTGAGTGACCGTCGGGTGTTCCTTTCCTGTTCGCCATAAGGCTTCGATGCATCTACAAGTCCTGGCACTTGGACTGATTCGCTTGCTTCCCAGGTGGTACTCGTACTGCTTTTGGGAGCCAAACAATGCTGGATTTTGGCATCATCGATCTGCAAGCTTCTGCAAGCTACTAAGCTTTTTTGGGACTTGAGGAATGCACCGGTGACCCTGTCGCAGCCGCCTGTGAGCGCGGCGACGGTGCGCCGGTCTACGCAGGTCTGATCTAGCATGGCCTGAGGTACTATTTGCATTCGTAGGTACGAGCCACCTTCACCTATGCAGCGAGCCACACTCCACTGCCTTCGACTCAGATCACCCTTCCCGGTAGAAAGCAAAGATCGTCATGCACCCAGGCTGTCTGGTGTCGATCCACCTTTCTACTCTGCTGCTCTGAGCACCACGCTGCAACTGAGCGGCAGCTGCTTGACTCAAACATAGCAGGTTTCCGTCTAGCGGAATACGGATCCTGAGAAGCACTGCGCGTGCGCGTTTGCATCAGACGACCTTCTGATTCACAGAGCGTCATCGTGTCGAATGTTGAAGCTCGGATTGCACAAGAACAGGTGCTTGCTCCGCACACACTCTCGTGCAACAGCACTTCCTTCCACTGAGCTTTACCAACTTGTGTCTGCAAATGCAGTGTGCAGTTTGCGCGGGTTGTGCAGCCCAGCAGAAACCGCCAAAGCAAGGTGGCCTGGATTCCGCAGATGGTGCGATGGTCCCTGCCTCTGAAATGCCGTATAGTCTGAATTTCGCATGTAGATAGAGAGATAGAGAGATAGAGAGAGAGAGAGAGAGTAGCCATTTGTCTGTGTGGAAGAAGCGAGTAGCCATTCTTGCTCAAGTACTACGCCTGTGCTTGGGGGCCTGTGGGGGACGGAGAGTTAACTCGGAGCTGTACACTCCGGGGGAGCTTTTCCGTTCTACCCAGTGGTGCTTGAGCTCCACATCCGTCGCCACTTTGCTTAAGAGGCCCCTAGCCTTTCCGCGCCTCTCCCGATCCTGAAAGAGGCCCCTCTCCGGAGGGTGGCCCTCTAGTAGGGGGACGGAGCATACTACTTGTTTGCGGAACCCTCGGTGATTGTGCTGGACTACTTGGGGGAGATCAATGGCAAACTCCGGCAGCCTCGGTGGAGGCAGAGAAGGGGGAAAAGCAGACCTCCCAGCGCAAAGCCACCCAAGGTGAAAACAACCTGGGAAGAACAGATGAAGTTGGCCGAGCGACTGCGTGAAATCGGGGTCCTTTGCAAAGCATGTTTGCAAGGACCGTGGTGCCACAAGCGGGGGAACAGCGTGTACCCTTGGACCGCGCTCGCGCGCGGGGTGTAGGGCTGGACAGCCCTGCACCTCTTACCTGGTAGAGAGAGAGAGAGAGAGAGAGAGACCACCGGGACAGTGGCGTAGCGTGATTGCGCAGGGGTTCAGGGGGTAACCCT